GTTTCAATATTCTAAAATCAAACAATATAATTGAGTGTATTAACATGAATATATCAACTAATGCAGAAAAAGCATTTAACAAAATCCAACCCCATTCAGTTTAAAACCTCTCAGAAAACTAGGAATAGGAGGAAACTACTTGAACTTGATTGAGAATATCTCTAAAAAACCTATAGTTAACATAATATGTACTGGTAGAAGACTAAAAAGCTTTCTCTCTAAAATCAGCAACAAAGTCAGGATGTGTACATTTAATTCTCTTATTCAAGGTATTAATGGAAATTTTAGCTAGTGCAGTAAGGCAAAGGAAGGAAATAAGGGGAATACAGATTGAAAAGAAAAAAAAGTATAACCCTCTCTTAATCTATCTAAAAAACTCTTAGAATTAATAAATGAATTTAACAAGGTCACTAGCTACGAGGTTAACACACACAAGTCAATTGTATTTTTACACAACAATGAATATGTGGAAAGTGAAACTTAAAATACAATTTACAATAGTTGAAAAAAACAAGGAACACTTGGGTATAAATGTAACAAAATATGTTAAAAGAACAATGTGCTGAAAACTACAAAATGTTGATGAAAGAAATCAAAGACCTAAATGAATGGATAGATACAAACTGTACATTAATTGAACAATTCATTATAATAAAGATAAAAATTCTCCCAAACTTGATAAATAGGTTTAAAATTATTATCAAAATCCCAGCACGTATTTTTGTAGATATAGACAAGCTTGTTCTAGCATTCACGTGGAAAGACAAAGAACTTAAACAGGTAAAACAATTATGCAAAACAAAAATAGTTTGAGGAATCATAGTACCCAATTTTAAGACTTACTATATGGCTAAACTAATGAAGATTGTGTAGTATTGGTGGAGGATGAGATACATAGATTAATGAAAATTAGAAAATGAAGTAGATCCACACTGGCATTTTTCCACAGCACACTGGTATTTTTACAAAGGTGCAAAATTCAATAAAGAAAAAATAGTTTGTCAGCAAATGATGTTTGCACAATTAGACGTCATCTATAAACAAACAAAACATAAACTAATATTGACCTAAACATTGCATCCTATACAAAAATTGACTCAAAATGGATACAAAATCTAATTTAAAAACTTAAAACTTTTAGATGAAATATTCCAGAAAATATTCAGGATCCAGGGCTTGGTAAGTATTCTTAGACATGCCACCAAAAGAATGATCCAAAAAAATAAACAAAATCAACATATTGGACTTCATCAAAAATTAAAACTCTGCTTTATGAAAGACCTTGTTAAAAGGATAAAAAGACAAATCACAGATTTTGAGAAAATGTTTGCAAACCACATATCCAAAAATGACTTATATTTATGTAAAGAGTTCTCAAAGTCAACAGTAGAAAAACAAATAATTCAATTAGGAAATAGGCAAAGGACATAAACAACACAATTCACTGAAGAGTACATGAAAAGATGTTCAACATCACCAGCCTTTAGGAAAATGTGATTTAAAACTACAATGAGATACCACAACATACCTATTACAGTGTTTAAAAAAAACAACAATGACAATGGCAAGTACTGACTAGGATTAAGAACTGGATCTTTCATGATTGCTGTTAGGAATGGTAAATGGTACAACTATTCTGGAAGACATTTTGGCAGATTTTTTTGTACAACTAAATATTCACTTACTGAATAAGCTAGATATTCCACTATGGTATCATGGTAAATACTGAAGAGAAATCAAAATGTGCCCACAGAAAAATGTGTGCATGAATTTTCATTGCAGCTTTATTTGTAATATCCAAAAGATGAAAACCTAAATGTCCTTCAGTGGGTAAATGAATATTAAACAAACTCTGGTACTATCCATACAATAGAATAACAGCAATAAAAATGAACCAACTATTGATGCACAGAACATGATGTCTCAAGGACATCATGCTAACTGAAAAAAGCCAATCTGAAGAGGTTACATTTATATACTATCCTCAAAATAACAGAATATAGAGATAGAGAGCATAGTAGTTGCCCTAGTGTTAAGGATAGGAGGAATTTGTGATGTAAAGTGCAGTACAAAGGTATTTTTGTGTGTATGTGGTGGGTAATGGAACAATTCTGAATCTTAATTGTGGTGGTGGTTACACAAATATATGCATGTTATTTTAAAAAATAATATATTTATGCATACACACAAATAAGTGCATGTAAAAATTGTCAGAATCTAAATAGGGTCTGTAGTCTAGCTAACAGTATTACACCAATGTCAGTTTCATGGTTTTGAGAATGTCATATAGTTTGTAAGATCTTAATGAAGAAAGACGGGTAATGGGTACACAGGTGTGCTCTATACTATTTTTGTAGCTTCTTGTGAGTCTAAAAATATTTCAAAACAGAAAGTTAACAAAAAGACTTCCTCCTGATATTCACTGAAGCACAATTGGCTGGCTCCATGAGGAAACCAAAAATGACTTATCTCACATATTTCATATATAACACGTTTTGGAGGAAATCATCTTATGATCTATCAAATTGTGACTTCCCATGGTATTCATTCTCATAAATGTTGATCCACAATTAAGAAATAGGTTTCTACTTGTTTTTTTTTTTAACATATAAATCTTTCTCTGACTTTGGCAAGTACAATTACAAATCCTTTAGAAGCCTCTCTGGGAAAAAAATTTGCTCATTCTACTGAATCTCCTATCGGAGCCAGCTGTCAGGCAAGACACTCAGGAAATTTGATGGTAATTCCAGACCAAATCCATAATCTCTGACTTGCCTACAGAGATACAGAGACACTGTTCTAGTCTAAAGCCAGAAAATAAAAATTAATCCCATGATTGCCACTGCTCACTCTTTGGGCTGCTCATAATTATGTTCAAAGGTTGTTGGCTAGGTATGAAACCATGTGCATTATACATTTCTGGTTAGTAAGTAGGCATGATGTATGAAGTCAGCAAACTTCCCTTCCCATTGCCCTGTATTGTCTCCCCCTTTCCTCCCATTGTCCTCTTTTCAATCACCTAGGACTTTCTAAAGTGCCAACCTTCCTTGTTTCAGAAAATCTAGCAGCTGGCTGATAAACCAAGCTCATAAATGCATTCACTGAATTCTCATTAGCTTAGCCTTTTACCACACCCCAAAACAATAATATTTCAAAAATAGGAACTTAGAGAAGCAGTAACTTCTAGTAATATATTACTAATAGTTTCATTTCTGCTTGGAGGCAAACACACAGTTAAAGCTCAGAGAAACATCAGGTTCAGGATGCCTTCTCACAATCTCAAAATAATAGGCTTAAGCTGTTGCCAATTTGTAAGTCTAATTCTAGTAGTATGTTATCATTCAATAGCCCCAGAAATTATATTCAAGTATTATTTTCCAATCTTGAGCAATAATTTTGACCAAGTGGAAAACTGTCTCGAGCTCTAGTGAATAATTTCTCAGTTTTCTAGGACACTCACATTCACAGCTGCAGAAAGCAAGATCTCAGTAGCGTCAGCCAACAGCAAACCCTCCCTCTCCCTAGGGCTCTACAATTCAGTAAATGCCCACACTCTACTGTGAAATAGCTTTAGGCTAAACTTTGCTAATAGGGGTACAGAGATGATTAATTTCCTTCCTCCTCCCACCCAGGCTCAGAAGCTGGTTAAATAATCAGCCTCCTCCTCAGTCAACTTGCTAGGTGGGTGGGGGAAGGGGAGCAAATAGGTTAGAAAAAAATGCAATCCAGAGCTGCCAAGTCTTCTGAGGAGGTCCTTTTATCATAGTCCTGCCAAAACACAATTTCTGGGGAACATCAGTCCAAGGAACACTGCTGATCTCAGCACTTCTGGAGGTTCCCAAAGCCCTGCAGCTGCCTTGCCTGCCTGGGCTTCATATACTGCCCCAAGTCTCACCCACTGTTGAACTGCTTTTATGGAGAAAAAGCCCCACCTATACTTGTGGTCAGAAAGATTAGGCAGAGCTGCTTTCAATATCCAAAATTATGGTGCCGCTTGGCAACCACAATAAGCAGTTAGTGCCATTCTGTGAGTCATGCTCATGTAGTCTACAGCTCTCAGTTACATTTTGTTTCTGGGAAATAGACCTAGTAGTACAATAAAGTTTTTATCCTGATATTTTACTGGAAACATCTTCATTGAGCCATCTTTTTCTAAAGGGGAATCTACAATAATATCTCCAAGTGTTTAATCTGGGGAATTTAATATATACAAAATACACTGATTTTCTCATATCATGAGAAGGTATCAATATGACTAGACCTCACTGGTATCTTAGATGACTGGCACTAACTTCTTTAGGGTGTATATGATTTTTAAATATCCTAAATAATCTTACATACTTAAGAATCAAACTCCAAGTATGAAATTAGCAGACTTTTAAAAATGGCAACAGCTATTTTATTGTTTCAAGTAAGGAAAATAGAAGAAATTTCTTCTAACAAAGACAGCACAACACTTGGATCCCTTTCCGAAAATATTTCCCATGTTCTCAAATTAAAAATACATCCAAGGAAACATCATAAATTGAGAATCTGCCCCTCTGAGATTTGACAGCTGTGCTGGATTCTAGGGCTTGATGAAAATCTTTTTGTGCTATTTGAAGTTTTCTGCCCCACCCCAGAATGCATGCATGGAAAATGTCTCAATCAAGGGAAATATGTCAAGTCTCATCTTATAAAAAGATTTAGGCATTTAAATGTATTTACCATTTGAATGCTGCTGACAAATGGGTTGTCAAACCCTGGATTTAAAATTTTAAGATTTTTTCCCCCTCCTCTGCTCACACTAACAGAAATCAATTTAATCAACCACTATCCTGATTTTAACATCATTTTTTAGGAGCAATGTTCAATTTAAATCTATACTCCTAGTTTATGTCAATTGTGTATTAAATTGTAGAGAAAGCAGTTTTCTATCTAGACAGTCACATTTCCTTACACAAAGCACGCAGCAGTTTCAGTGAACATTTTAACCACTTAAACTTATAAATAGATATTACCTCACTGTAGTCTCCATTCTTCACGACAATACACCCCTTAAAAAGTAAGATATTAGCAGATTCAGGATTACATTTTCAATGGAGGCAGCAGAAATTCACATTGTCATTTTCAATTCACAAAGATTTCTAAGTTCTATTTTTTAATGTATGAAGAGAAAGCCAAGAACCTTACCCTTTCTACCCAGATATCCTGTAGAGAACTGCAGGCTTGTACAGCTACAAGAGGAAACACGTAGTTTATTCAGTAAAACAGGAAAAATACAAAAACGTTTACCTCTAATGAGAGGTAGAACTGTTCGTCAGCATCACTCAGTTGTTTAGAAAAGCATTCCCCTTAGAGGATATTGTGGGCAAAGAAAATTGAAATTTTGGCTTTGATAAATTCAGAGTTTCCATGAGTTGTGCACTTCAATCAGGAACAGAGTATCTGACTTTAATTTGCCACGTATTACCATAGTTTTCTCAGTTTATTCTGAAAGTTTAAATTGCAAAAAACCAGCTTAACTGTTAAAACTTTACACTTTTGTTTAAAAATAAAAACTAAGTTGTAATGTCTTTAAAATGCTGATAATTTTTAACAGAGAACATTAAACATTGCATTTTACAATCATTCCCCATTGTCTATTCATATGTTTTGTTTCTTACCATGCTTTCCTCCTGTTTCAGTCTTGCAAGGCATCCGTTTCTTGGGGGAATTCATCTGACCTACTCTGAAGGTGATCAGACGGTTAATCCATAGCTTGTTAAACTTACTATACTTCCAGACATCAATAGATCCCCTGGATGCAACAGCTACTGTTTCTATCTAATGACATAAAAGGTCATGTGTCTTTGCTGTGGTGCTTTGAAAGAGAATGTGTGAAAAATGCACAGAGATTCCTGCTACGCACACACCCATCTTACTCTATCATTTTCTTCTTCCTTTTTTTTCTTTTTGTGTGTATGCATGTGAGTCAAATATGATTTTTAGGCTGTCTGTATGAGATAAATGTTTTCAAGCCATAATGAAGTGCTTAGGCCACATTGTTATGCTTTTCTATATTGTCTGTTTCAAGTGCACAAGGGTGGTAATAATAGGAACCCCCTTGAAAATCAGGGAAAACCTTATCAGGCCACCAAAATGGAATAATTTAAGGTCACCAAAAGGACTATGCTTAACAATGTCTCCCATAAAGCTGACTAAAATTCTTCTTTGGGGCATTATTTTGGGTTAAGCTTTGCCCTCTCCATATACTTGTCTTTGAAAATGCTAATTTTAACACATTAAGTCCTTAAAACCATATTGAGGAGGTGTTCTTTAGGTTAATTTGGGTGTGGATGGAAGAAGAATAAAATGTCTATAAATGGAGAAAGTTGCTCAGAAAGGAACGGTGAGGATTCCTAAGGGAAACTTTCAGAATTTTATGACCTTGACATTGACTGGTATCATTAGATGGATTCACTAACAGCCATTAAACAGACTTTTGTCTGACATCATTAAATACAGAAAGAGCAAAGTTTTGAAACCAGAAAGTAGGTTAGATATTTGGAGCAGATCTCATTAATCCCTCCCTAAAATGTTAGTTTTACTATTGTTATATAATTTTAGGGCATAAGATTTTAAGTGGGTCTCTGGAACCATCTTTTGCTTTTGGATCTTTTCCTTGCCAGATTATTTTTGACTAGTTTATATGGAAGGAAAATCAAATGATCATGACATTATCATAAGCCATGGCACCTAAATAAAGGTTTAGTGTAGAAAAATAATGTAAACAAAGCCAAGGCCAATGCATATGGTTGTACAGAGCAAAAGAATGACTATCGAAGATGTGCATGGGAGTTGAAGTCTAAGCCAAGCTGTGCTCCTAAGAACAGTCCCGATTCACCAGGAGGAAGATATATAATTTTCTAATTCACAAAAGGCAAGCCTTTTAACCATAGGACTATGTTAGACTGGAAGGGGTACTTTTTTCTAATTTTCTTAAGGAACCAGATGGTCTAGAGATGGCCCTGATCAAATATATTATTTCTAAAAATATTTTGAAGATAGTATACAAATATATTGAGGAGGGTGTGAGTCTGAATGCAAGGAAACCAGTCAGGAGTATTGTACTAATCCAAGAATGAGTTGATAAGGATTTGGAGTTGGAAAGTGTCATGAACAGGTCATGAGAAATTGATAATTGGAGTTGAAAATAAAGACTAAATACAAGGAGGTAAGCTAGGTGATCAGTAAGGAAAACACTGATTTGAGATCCCATCAAAAGGAGGTAGTCAGCAGATCAGCTACTTTAAAGAGCAGGTGTGATAAGTATGTAGTAGTGCTGCCTGACAATGAGAATGAGTAGCCAACCAGGTTTATCTTTTCCCTACCCTACTTTCTACAACATTCAGAGCTGAATTTAGTGTTTTAAATTTTTTATTACAGGAGTCTACCGCAGTCCTCATTTTTCTTCCCCTAAATCAGAAAATCTTAATCTTGATTCCATGTATGGATCTTAATAGGCTCATAGAAGTCTTGAAATTGTGGGCAAATTGTTAATGGGTTTTTATTGTTAATTTAACATCTATTTTAACTGTCATGTTTTAGAATCATTTTATTGTAAACAGTTTTTATATTTCTTTTGGGGGGAAATCAGCAAGAGATATAGAGAGATAAATAGATAATAAATGATAGATAGATAGATGATAGATGGATAGTCATTACCATCACAGTATCTAGAAGTGAGTAAACAGACTTGTGGTCATCATTTCAAGAATCAAACAAATTAAAATAAAACTTAAACTGGACACAGACTCAGTACTCAGAAATTTAGTTTAAGCAGGAAGTGAATTCTAAAACAAAATAAAGTCTCACAACATAACATAGGAAATTCCATATCAGCAACTAAATAAGACCTGGCAAGTTGTGTGCTAAAGAGCCAAAAGGAACCAGAAGGAAGACCATTTCAATGTGACCCTGTAAACCATGGCAGATCAGGTTGGAGGTTACTATAATAAGGAATGGATGTGAGAGATGTTACAAAAGAATGACTGGATTTTGTGTCTAACTGATTGGGGGTGGGGGGTGGTAAAGGAGACGGGCGAATCAACAATTATATTTTGAGCATCAATCACTGGCTGAATGATGGTATCTTAAAAAGAAATAGGGCAGCATTCATCTATTCAACAGGTATTTATTAAGCAACTAGTATTTGCGAGGCACTATGTTCAATGGTACAGTGATGAATAAGTCATGACTCCTGTTCTCAATAATTTTTTAACATATTGGGATTTTTTTATTCTTATTGGAAGGAATACCATTAGAGGAAAACTCCATCACTTTATAGAAGAGTGGACAAGGAAGAAAGAAGGATAAAAGCGCAAGGATAGCTTACCTACTAATCAAAAACTAATTTGTCTACGAGGTCTTCAATTAAATTTGCAAACTTGCCACTGTGCACTTACATTGACAGCACTGTACAAAAACCACAGTAAGGTTTCATATCCTTGGTATATCAGTGTCTCACAACTGTGCTCATGCTGATGTGTGGCAGTGTCTTGCTGAGTGGCGTTCATTATTGTTGTTGCATGTTTTGGTGTGCCATCACAAGAATGTCTGAGCTTGAATTAGAGCAATGAACAAATATTAAATTTCTTGTTAAGATTGGCAAGAGTTAATGTGAAATCAGGCATATGTTAGTCCAAGTTTATGGGGATAATGCCTTGAAGAAAATAGCAGTGTACAAGTGGATTAAATGTTTTCCTGAAGTGAGAGAATGCATCACTGATGAAGAGAGGTCAGGGCATCCAGTAACGAGCAAAACTAATGAAAACATTGCAAAAAATTCTTGAATTGTGCATCGAAATCATCAGCTGACTGTGAGAAGCATAGCAGACCAAGTAATCATTGATAACAGTTAGGAAAATCTTAACTGAAAATGTTAGCATGAGAAAGGTGTGTACAAAAATGGTCCCAAAGGAACTCACCGATGAACAAAAGCAAAGGAGAGTCAAAGATTGCCAAAACATTTTGGAGAGGCAAGTCGATACTTTGGGCCATGTTATCACTGGTGATGAAATATGGGTGTACCAATACAACCCTGAAACAAAGCATCAAAGGGCACAATGGAAATCAGCCAATTCTTCGTGACCAAAAAAGTTCCATCAGTCCAAATCAAGAGTCAAAACGGTATTGCTAAACTTTTCTAATATCAGAGAGATTATTCATTATGAATTTGTACCAACTGGACAAACAGTTAACTAAGTTTACTATTTGGAAGTGCTGAAAAGGCTGCGTAAAAAAGTTAGACAAAAACGACCTGTACTTTTCGCCAATAATTCATGGCTCTTGCATCACAACAATTCACCAGCTCACACGGCACTGTCTGGGAGGGAGTTTTTAGCCAGTAAACAAATAACTGTATTGGAACATCCTTCTTACTCACCCATTCTGGCCCTAAATTACTTCTTTCTTTACCTGAAGATAAAGGAAATGTTGAAAGGAAGACATTTTGATGACATTCAGGACATCAAGGGTAATAGGATCACAGCTCTGATGGCCATTCCAGAAAAAGAGTTCTAAAATTGCTTTGAAGAGTGGACTAGGTGCTGGCATCAGTGCATAACTTCCCAAGGAGAGTACTTCAAAGGTGACCATAGTGATATTCAGCAATGAGGTATGTAGCACTTTTCTAGGATGAGTTCGCGAAATTAATTGTCAGAACTCATACATAAATGTATTGGATACACACAAATTCATTTGTTAAGATGATTAGTTTTTTTCTAATTTGTATGAGCCTGTCTCCTAATACACCCTCCCTGCCCTTGCATTTACAAATTTATCTGGCTGATAACTTATTCCTGAATAACAGCTTAACAAATTGAAGTATTGTTCACCTGTTGAGAATGGGTGGTGAGAGAAGTAGAATTCTAATCCCCTTTAAAAAGCATTGATTTCTTTCTGGCACAATTAAGTAATGAGAATGTGCAGAAAATTGTGGCATTGCAATATTACATTCATTGAAATTGTTGATTAAAAGCAATTGAGCTAGCTTTATTGGTTTTTTAACCAGACCAGAACAAGCTAATCTGCTTCAAGCCCTCTAACATATTTCTGTGAAATTA